CAACTCAATGGAACTTAGCAGCAACAACCCCCTTAAAATTTAACAACAGGGTAAAATATAGAAAAGACCATGTTCCCCTGGTGAGCTGACAAATACCTGCCTCAGAAGAACTGCAGCCTGGATACTGGTGAGAAGTGAAGGTGGTAAGGCCTGGTCTTGCTGACATTACATCTATACCATCAGATAAAGATCAAGTCCTAGAAAAAGACCTTGTGCCTGGAAAAGCTGAGTGTCATTGTTATTGTTATGCCTCACAGGGACTCTCTGCACAATCCTTTTGAACCCTGTTCTCTCCTGAGCCAGTCTCTGACACACCTCCCTTTATTACCCCAGTTATTATGTCAATCCATCTCACCCAGAGCCTTCCACTCCTGAGTTGTACCTTGACCCTTCAAGCATGATATTCTTCTCCAAAGACTGATCCCTCCTGGCTACATGTGCAAAGAATGTGACACAGAGTCTCAAAATCTTTGCCTGAAAAGCAGCTTGGTTCAAAAATAGGAAACCTTTAAAGAGGCAAATTAACAGAACACCTGCAAAATGAACTCAAATGCACCGATGACCAAGTGACAACGCAGGACGGAGCAATCTCGCTGCATCAGACAAAAGGGTTGCATGGGCTGACGTCAATTTGATGGCAACTAACCGCTGACATCCTAACCTTAAGCTGCCCAGGATTCAGTGGAGAAAGGAGAGTGTGGATCTTTAAATGTCCACATTCAACTTTGTTTTATTACTACTGGTTTTTTAACCAAGGGTAGCTCCTACTTTAATTTCTAGGTTTACTTTAGGAAGCGGCTACACTTACCAATCTTGGACAAGTTAATCTTTCTGCCCACTTTTCTGAATAACATGAAAGGCTCTGATCTAGTCAATGCACCTTCAAGATGAATGAGAGACACACATGATTTTATGTAATTAATTCAATGGTTCACGAGCACAAGAAGAAGCACGTGAGTTGTGTGAAGAAAGCCCCCTTCTGCGCTCCACCTGCCTCCTCTCTGCAGGAAGCGCCATGGGCAGCCCTCGAACTCCAACTCCCACCAGATCCACCGCCACTGAGTGGACTCTGACCCACGGTGAGCCTCTGTCATGTTTCTAATGGAAGGAGATCGTCCATTTTTCTCTAATTAAACTGCTAGTGGACTTGAACTTGTGATCTTTGGGTTAGCGTTCCAGCATACAACACACACTGCCACCAGAGTTCCTTACCCTTCAAACACACAATTGGAAATCAAGTGCCTGTCATGGTTTTCAATCAGCCCTCACTCTGAATTTTCTAGTAAGCACTCACATTTCTCAATGACATTTGCATCCATTAAACAAAACAAAACAAAACTAGTCAGTTGGGGGGAGACTGAAAGGGAGGGAGGGGATAGTAACATATATCGAATTGAAACAGGTGAGGGGGAGAGCTGTTTAAAAGCGATATATGATTTGGCATTATTATCATGATAGGAGTTCAGAACGAAGGCCACATGGTGGAGTGGGCTTGGGGGGAGGGATTATATAATAATGAAAGAATTTTACTTTTAAAAGAGAAGAGCAAACTGGGGGCTTGGGGAGGCAGGGAGAAAGTGCAACAATGAATGAATGGAAATCCAAAATCTCTGTAAATTTTCATTAAAATTAATATTAAGAATAAAATTTAAAAAGTAGGGTGAGAATAGCTGCACAGCTGGAAGAATGTAACAATGTCACTAAATAGTGTTTAGAAACTACTCAACTGTTCTATGTTTTGCTATGTGTATATTGTCAACAACAACAGAATAAACATATAAATAGAAAAAAATAAAGACCTGCTCAAGATCACCATGTAATAAATAGAGGTACATAGATTTGGATACAGAAGAAAACTTGGTGCCTAAACTGTCACCTGACTCACTGCGTCAGGGGTAAACTCCAGCCATCACTCTCCCCGTCCGTTGTCCCAGGATAGAAATGTCTGTTCCCCTCACCCTGGCTGCTTATTACGTGAGTCTCATCTTAGAACCTCAAGAACGAAAGGCAGCTGACTATGACTAAAGGCAAAGTTTAAGTGTTGAGGAAACACGGTATTTATGAAGGAAACCCCAAGGCAACATGGAAGAGGCTGTAAAGGAGGCTCTGAAGTGCATGCAGTTTGAGTTCTGCACAAGAAGAGAGCTGTTGTGTTGGAAAGCCCCAGGCAGCAGAGCGGGTGCTGATTGGTGCCCTCGCTCATGGGCTCCTCCAGGACACCAGCTGCTCCCCATCCTGCTCTGCTCCAAACTGCTCACCACACTAGGTCCTTTTAGCTCCCTTCCTCTTGCTCTCAAGGTTTTTTTCCTGACCAGGGAAAGCTGGGAAAGTTGTCGATTTCTCTGAAGTTCTGGAAAACTAAATTTAAGCATTGCCATAGATATTACGTCAAAATCACTCCTTGTTGGCTTCCTCCAGCTTATGGCCTGGCATGACTGAGCTGTCACCTACAGGGGGTCTCCAGCGTGGGCAGGTCAGCTGTTCTCTAGAGAGGAGCCATGTGTACTGCCAAGTGTGCATGTGTCATTACTGATGAGAAATCAAAACGCCTGCTCCTCTTCGCCGCTAAATGATGCTGTCCTGTCCTGTGCTGTTCTGCCCTGTCCTGTCCTGTGCCGTGCTGTCCTGTGCTCTGCTGTCCTGTGCTCTACTGTCCTGTCTTGTCTTGTCCTGTCCTGTCCCGTGCTGTCCTGTGCCATGCTGTCCTGTCCTGTGTTGTCTTGTCCTGTCCTGTCCTGTCCTGTCCTGTGTTGTCTTGTCCTTTGCTGTCATGTGCTGCCCTGTGTTATCTTTCCTGTGCTCTTCTGTCCTGTGCTCTGCTGTCCTGTCTTGTCCTGTTCTGTCCTGTCCTGTGCTGTTTTGTCCTATCCAGTGCTGTGCTGTGCTGTGCTGTGCTGTGCTGTGCTGGACTGGACTGCTTTGTTTACTACAACTTCTGACCATACTAAACATCTGGATTCAATGAATTCTCTTTAGCTTATCTCTGATTTAATTGTTGTTAAATCCTCAAACCTATTTTTATTTTAGATCTATATTTAGAGTGATATTTTTAGTACAAAAGAAGTGTGATAAAGGTAATCGTTCATTCATTATCCGAATTGCACAGGTTAGAAAAGTTGGGCCTTGGGAGATGCATAAAATAGAAAGATTTGTCACTCCTGGTCCATCGTCTATAACATCCATGAAGCTGGAGACTCACACTTAACCCTGAGGAGTCTTTAGCTAGAAACACTGGGAGGTGGTATTGACTTTGAAAGTCTGAGAGAATTAAGAGAAAAACATGAGTGTAAGATTAGATGGGAAGGAAGGAACTCAATACAATGGGGCAAAGCCATCATTATCGTGATGATTAATATGATTATGAAATGCCTTCTTTCTAAAACACACGGATGGTGGAGTTAATGTGTGTGACTCAGCTGTAGACTTCAGCTCTTCAACATGATAAGCTGTGAGCCCAGCTTGTCTGCCAGATAAGGTGCTTGTTGTTGTTGTTGTTATGTGCCATCGAGGCGCTTGCGACTCATAGCGACCCTATGTACAACAGCCCTAAACTCCGCTCTGTCCTGTGCCAATCGCACTGTCTCTGACACTCCCATCCCAATTATCCCAGTCACTGGATCAATCCACCTCATAGAGGGCCTTCCTCTCCTGCGCTGTCCCTCCACCCTCCCAAGCATGATGTCCCTCTCCAAGGACCGGTCTCTCCTCACAACATGTCCAAACTATGATAGACAGAGCCTCAGAATCCTTGCCTCCAAGGAGCCACCCGGTTTAACCCTTTCCAGGATAAATTTGTTTGTTTTCCTAGCAGTCCATGGTATTCTCAATACTCTTTTCCAGCACCACAGCTCAAAGGCATCAATTCTCCTTCTATCCTCCTTGGTCATTGTCCAACCCTCTGATGCATAACAAGTGATTGCAAAGACCAGGGCCTGTATCAGATGCACCTTGTCTCCAGAGAGACACCATTGCTCTTCAGTACTTTGGAGAGGTCCCTAATAGCAGACTTCCCCATGGCAATGCGCCTTTTAATTTCCTGGCTGCTAGTGCCAAGACGGTTGACTATGGAGCCAAGCAAACTAAAGCTGTGTACAATCTCAATCTCTTCACCATCCATCCTGATGCTGCCAATTGGTCCAGTGGTGAGAATCTTTGTCTTCTTGACATTGAGCCTCAATCCATATTGTAGGCTGCAGTCCTTGACACTCTGCAGCAGGCGCTTCAGGTCCTCCTCAGTTTCAGCAAGCAGAGTTGTGTCATCCGCATAACGCAGATTGTTGATAAGGTGCTAAGTGTGGAAAATAAATCAGGGACCCAAGCTGACAAGTGCTGGCTTTGGGCAGGCATACTGACCCCAGTAATCTCGGTGATGCAAGCTGTGTTAACCTCGGGCACACAGTCCAGCGAACCTGGACCTACTATGTACAAACCATATGACTAAACGCTGGTCAAAGCATTGAGCATCTCCAGGAATCTAGAAAATTGTCTCACAATTCCTTAAAACAAACATCTCCATCACTGTTCAATCGCGTTCAGAGCTAAGGCTCAGGGAGAGAATGGGGTAGGACTGATGGGACAAGAATCCCAAGGAAGCAATGGGACAGGGCAGTTACATCGTGGGGACTGAAATTAGTGTTGCAAAGTGGAACCGATATGAATGGTCAAAGGAAAACATAAGTTTTCTTTGTAAAATGCCACCCATATCACAATAATAAAACAAATACATACAAGTCAACCATGTTGATATAAAATGCAGTATTGGTGCACTTTTCAATAGGTTTGTATTAGGAGAGATAAACAGGTGATCTTGTGCTACCTCTGATATCAAATCTTTCTGGAAAAAAATCCCGACGGCAAGGCGGTCTTTCAAAAAGGATTTCAGACACCATCAACTTCCACAGCCACGCAGAACCTTCATCCCAGAGCCATGTGGAGAATCCTGGGAAGCAGCAGAGGCAGCCCTGAGCCGCCCCCTTCTGTCTGCTCGCCGCACCCCTTACCTGAGCCAAGGTGAGCGTTGCCTGCTTGCAGGTGCCGCACTGCACCCGGAGTTTCCCTGGCTGCACAGCATGACAGGGCCCTTTGCAGTACACGTAGAAGCTGTTGTAAGGGGCCTTGCCTGTTGGGACAAGAGCAGAGGAAACAGCCAATCATTCTGTGTCCAATTTGAGACAAGAAACCTTCAGGTACCTCAGTGGAATAAATCTAACAATGAGGACTCAGTAATTTAATTTTGAGAATCTGGTTTTATGCCTAAAAGAGTGGAAACCAGCGTCTTCTTGCCAGCAGCCCTCTGACTTACTCAGCAAAGCAGGAAGCGGGCTGCCAAGTTCTCTGGCCAGGAGTCTCTGCAACTGAGAGGTGAAATGCAATGCACCAACGAGGTTTAAGAGGACAGAAAACTTAGAGTCAACGGGAAATTGAGAGACCTGAGCTTCTAAACCTTCATGCCTCTCTACACGGTTTAGAACATTACATATTTTTCCTCTTCAGATGTTACTCACAGGGACAGCCCAGCCAACCTTAACGGTGTGGAAAGGACAGGTGCTAAGTTTGCATCAGATCTTCCCACACACAATCATAGGTTGTTCCTACTGAGCTGTTGACGTTGATTGCCTTTGAGTCTGGAATGACTCATAGCAACCCTATGAAGAAAAGGCTTGAAGTCCCTCTAGAACTACGAGCATTTATCAAAGTTCATAGTTTCTGGAGGCGTGTTGTTTAGGAAGTGGATGCCACTCTAGCTTCCTACTGAGAAGGAGCCACAAAGAGCCCAGTGGACCAGGGTCCCTCAGCAGAAAGGGTCACACTATCCCAATAGTATTCTCTCTAGTCACACAGATTCGAGTCAGATAACACAGGCTACCACGTCTCATGCAAGTGAAGGCTGGAAAATAGATAAGGATGACAGAAGAAAAATAAATGTCTTCAAATTGTGGTATTGGAGAAGAGGGCTAAATGTCCCCTGGACTGGCAAAAGAACAAGCAAATCTGTCTTGGAGGAAGGTCTCTGTAATAGTTCCCCACTCACTGCCATGTCTACATGAAGAAATTTCATTTGTATGTGTTTGCCAGTAAAAGCACTGTCTTCCCAAATCTCTAAATTTCTATGACAATTCAATAGATCTGTTCTTTCCTACTTACTGTTCTTGCTTCTAACATAAAAGGCCATGGCATAAAACGTGCTTTTAAAATGTAGTGTTACCATCAACAAATCTAAAAATGGCAGAGAGTCCTGATCTTTTTTTATCATGCACCAAAATCTGCTGCTGCCTAAAAGTACATAGTCAACTGAAAATAATTAGTGCCGAGAATGAGGAAACAAAAGATTGAGTGTACTGCAGTCTCATTTGTTTTACTGATTTACAAAAAGATCATCTGTAGACACATTGAGTTGCCATTTGTTCAAAGGTGACAACATCGCAAAATGCAAAGCACAATAAAGATGTCATGTCTTATCATTTTATCATGCACTGGTGATACATTTGGTAAACATTACAGAGATTAGCATTAAACGTCCAGTATAGCAGGGAGATAAAATAGAAATATATGTTCTTACTGATGAGAAACTACAAATTCTGACACTTCTTTGCAGCTTTAGCACCTTAAAGCATAAAGGCATTCAAGTCTATAAATACAGTGTTATTAGTAAATATAATTACATAAAATATATCCTTAAGGTTTTATGCAAACCATAAACACAACAGATAGAGGCATGTGTTGATGTTATATAAATATTTGTAACATAGTAACTGACAGACTATTAGAAGATCATAAGAATTGTAACAATTTTAAAGCCTCAGAAGAGTTTAGTGAAGGCCTTAGGGGCCATTACCATCAAAACCGTTATCAGCAATATGAACACATTCAATTAAAGAAACATTTATACCTTCCTGTAAAGGTTAAACAACAAAAGGAAAGACAGAGACGTAGAAAAGTTCTGCAAAGGCCAACGAGGGCTTCCAGGACACCAGGACTGTTCAAAGAGTGCACTAGAAACAACTTTATAGTAAAAGCACCTCAGAAATTGCAAGGCCAAATGATTCTTCTCTTCCCTTAGGGCAACAAGAAGATTTGCAATATTATTTCAGCTAATCATATATAGAGGTAAGATTTGAAGACAAGGCATTCCTTCTCCTTCTCTGGGGGACAACCTTCACCAAAATCCTTGAGAGGTTATTCAGACGGTGGAGGGTTCCAGCGTGCGTGACCCGGAAGCATACATGGGAGATGGCATGCAGTCCATTACACCTGGCTTGCCAGAGCCAGAGAAAGGCAGGGAGTAACAGGCAGTGGAAGGGGTAGTGGGCCAGGCCAATCCCCACAACCCCAGCACACCACAAGGTGTCCACTGCCCTCCAGCAAGCCAGTCTGCAGCACAAGGACTCACAGTGGGGGTGCCTTCCCACATCACACCTTAAGTCCTGTGGAGCCCACACACAGGATGTTCTACCCCACCCCTTCCAACTGGCAAGCTTGTCTGTACCACACTGAAGCCCATTTCAGTGGGCACCAGCTGAGCCCAGCCAACACCCCACCTTGATGTTCTCCTGGACAATGTCTACTTTTTTTTTTAATTGTGATTTCAACAAAAATTTACAGAAAAGTTGGATTTTCATTACTTCATTGTTGTACCTTTTCTTCCCTAACCCACTAGTTCACTTTTTTAAAAGAAAAAAAAAATTCATTCACTGTTGTACAATTTCCTCCTTTCCCAGTTCACTTTGCTATGTACCTCTTATTCTGGACTGTCATAAAATAATGCCTAATCATACATTCCTTTTGAACAGCTCTTTCATCTGTTCCAATGCAGTATTTATTATTTATCTCCTCTTTTCTTAGTTTCTTCATAACCCTCAATAGTCCTGTTTTACAACAGTGGTGTTATGCAGTATTTGTTCTCTTGGAACTGAGATATTTCACTCAACATACTGTCCCCCAGGTCACCTATGTTGTGTGATATTTTATGAGTTCCTGCTTTCCAGTGCTGTGTAGTATTCCACAGTGGGAAGAGGTTTTCTGTCCATTCACTTGTCAATGGACACGTGCCTTGCTCCCATCCCTGTCATCGTGAATAATGCAGCAGTGAACATGAATGTGCACTCATCTCCCTGTGTGGCAGCTCTGGTTTCTTTCGGATATAGTGGTGTCTCCCCTGAGCTGACTGACAGCAGAGCAGCACTCTGAACTGTGGAGTGAGAGTGTCTCACAGAAAGGGAAGACAAGCCTCAGGCAGAGGAAGCCTTCCTCAGCGTCTCAGTGCCCCTCATCCTCATGGGGCACTCCAAAGCCTTGTCCTCTGTTAACTGACTTCCCCATGAAGAACCTTCACGACACCAAGCATCACCCACTGCTGTCCAGTTAAACACCTCACTCCTCATGACCTTCAAACGCTTGTGTTTATGCTGCTACATTCCCCTCCTTTTACCTGATATGTTTGCAAACTGAGAGATGTTATTTCAAGTTATACAACTTACACCCTCACCGTCCCACCTCACGTTAGCATTGGGCCCCTCTCTCGGTGAATATTTATGTATGCATACATTTGTCGACAGACACTTGCTTCTTGGCTGAATCATTGATCGTGAACTTGAAGACATTGCATAACCACCCCCTAAATGCTTCAACGTGAACATCTTAAAAATGAGGACTTCCACATAGACAAGCACACAACTTTCTAAGACAGCTGGTCATTTCAGCTGTTCTGCTAAGCTCTGCATAGCACAGTCCACAGGCTCTCAGACGGAGACTGAGTATAAAGCCTTGCACACTTCCAGCAAGATGGCAGAGGCCTCGCATCAAGCTGTTGGCTGCGTGGAGGAGCACAGCCAACCTCCCAGTGGACTGGTGTGGAGAGTCAATACTATCCTCTAAGGAGGGCAGGGTCAACAAAGCGGGGATCACACCTTTCCTGTTGCCAGGCAGCTGCTGGCGTGGATATCACTGGAAACCAAGGTCCCTCAGCCTTATAGACAGCTGTTTAAAATGACCATGCCACACCGTTCATGGTTCTTTGATCCTCCTGTGTCCTTATTTTATGTTTTCCTTCAGATTCTTCCTTTACATGGTGTTTGACGTACTTGTCCAACTCTTGGATGCTTAGGAAGCAACTGAAAATATCAGAGCTTGGCTCAGACACACCTTAGTCTTTAAACTAACATCCTTGCTCTTTAGTACTCTAAAGAGGTTCTTGATCATTGCAGATTTTCCCAGTGCAACATGTCTTTTGATTTCATGACTGTTACTATCATGGGTGTTTACTGTTGACCCCACTAAAATGAGATAGTTGACAATTTCAATCTTCTCTGCGTCTATCATGTTGTCTACTGGGTGCACTGGTGATGATTTTTTACTTTCTATTTTTTCTTTCTTCCTTCCTTTCTTCCTTCCTTCCTTCCTTCCTTCCTTCCTTTCACTAGTTTATTTACAAAATTCTAACACAAATTTGAACAAATTCTTTCCATTTCCCTCATCCCCCACTCATCAATTTGTACAATCCAATGATTAATTCCCTCTTCCCCCTGTACATCCACATCCTTCTGGTTCCAGGCTCTCCCACCCCTCCTGGACCCTTATACTCATTCTACAATAATGATTTTATACAATATTTATCCTTGTGGGATTGAGTTAGTTCACTCAGCATACTGCTCTCTAGTCCCTCCCAAGTTAGGTAATAATTTACAAAGTTATTGCGCCTGTGTGCTGCATAGTATTCCATTTTGTGAAGTACCATCCTTTCTCAATCCATTTGTGGTTGGATATTTGGGCTGTTTTCTTGAGATATAACACATATTGAAAGCAGCATTCTTTGATCTTCTTCATTAAGTGCTGCAAATACTCTTTCTGTAAGCAAGGTTGTGCCATGTGCATAATACAAGTTGTCGCATCTTCCTCCAATCCCAATGCTATTTTCTTCTTCCTATAGTCTAGCGTCTCACATTATTTGCTCAGTGTATAGATAGAGTGGATTCAAAGTGCGACCTCTCTGTTAATCCAATACTTAAGAATCACACTACCAAGGTTGTTTGCCTGTTCATAGGAAATGTGTGGTCAGTGTTCCCAAACAGTGCTCTTGACTGGGTCCAGACTCACAGAACCCTTCAGCGCTTGCCCAGGCTG